GATTTTTCAGTTCTCGGTTCCCCTCTTGAGCCCCTCTTGGGCCCGTCTTGGGGCCTCTTGGTCCGTCTTGGGCGGCACTTGGGCCGTCTTGAGGGCTCTCTTGGGTCGTTCCGGCGCCGTCTTGGGAGCTTCGTGGGCCGTCTTGGAGCGGTCTTGGGGGCCTCTTGGGCCGTCTTGGAGCGTCCGGAAGCCGAAAAAGCCAGAACACAAAAAACATAGAAAAAACCAATGAAAATCAACGATTTTGGCCTCTTGGGGCTCTCTTCGGAGGCCTCTTGGAAGGCTCTTGGGGCGTCTTGGAGGCCTCTTGGGCTGTCTTGGGGGCCTTTTGGGCCGTCTTGGGGTCATCTTCGGCGTCTTCGAGCGCTCTTTGGGCGTCTCGGGGGCCTCTTGGGCAGTCTTGGGGGCCTCTGGGGCACTCTGAGCGCGCTCTGGGGGCCTGAGAGGCCGCACCCAGAAGGAAAACCATCTCTGAGTAGACTTGGTCGGGCGGCGGTCGGGCGGCGGTCGGGCGTTGGTCGGGGTACTTTTCGCCGGGGGACCCCCAGGGGCCGCCCCGCGCGCGCGAACTAGAAATACTGTTTATACTGTTAACCAGTTACCGGAGATCTTAGCACGCCCTGGCCCGTTGGGCCGGCGAATTGTTACTATTTTTGACTATCTTCGAACAGCTTGTGCATATGTTCTTTCGTCCAAAATCCGCCTACAGGGGGACGTGCCCGACCTAGCGCTACCCCCCCCCCCCCCCCGGAGGCGGCTCCGCGCCCCGAGGCGGGCCTGCGCCCAGAGCTGCAGGCGCCCCTGCTCCCCCGTGGCCCGCTGCCGACCTCTGTCGCCGAGGAGAGAGTGAGGGGGATCCTTCTCCTCCTCCTTCTCCTCCTCCTCCTCCTCCTCCTCCTCCTCCTCCTTCCTCCTCCTCTTTCTCCTCCTCCTCCTCTCCTCCCTCCTCCTCCTCCTCATCATCTTCCCCCCCTCGTCTTCCTCTCCTCATCCAGTCCTCTTCCCTCACTCCCTCCTCCTCCTCCTCCTCCTCCTCCTCCTCGCCCTCCTCCTCCTCCTCCTCCTCCTCCTCCTCCTCCTCCTCCTCCTCACGGGGGACCCTTCGAGCAGGGGTTCGACTACACACGTTGGCGCCGACGCACGTTCCGAGGATCAGCGGCCCCGCCTGGCGCCACGCGGCCTGGACCGCACAGCCGCCCTCCTCCCCGGGAGTCGAGGGAGGAAAGTCCACCCGGGCCGGACAGGTGGCGTTTGCCAGACGGCCTTGGGCGTTTATTGAGCAGCCCTGCCCTGTTCGATCCCTTCAGTGGGGGCGTTGAGTACACGGCTTCGCGTGTCGGGGTGGTTACTAGGGGGGGGGGGGGATTTTTGTCGAGTAGGAGTTCGACTACATCTGGTGATTGTGAAGGCCTTGCGGACGGTGCCTCCGACCCTGGAGGAGGACCCCCCACGATGAAAAGGCGACAGCCGGAGGTGTTCGGGAAGGTTGGGGCCAGGCGCCCCGAAGAGTGTCCTTGAAGCCCCATGAGGTTCCCAAGAAGCATAGGACGAGGAGCACAGCTGGAGGGAGGAGGATCGTTCCAGCCATGATTCACGCCACAATCCTTGTGCCGTCGAAGAAACAATAGAATGTGTAGGATGTACGTAGATCTGCGATGATGGTAAGTATTTTGTCGTAGATCTGGCGAACATCAATTCGGGGTAAATCAACTTTGTAGTCGATCTCCGACTCGAACCCTTCGGGCCTGGAGAAAGGGATGCGGGCATGGCAAGGGATCATGAGCGGCGAACATATCAATATACCAGTACCCGCGCCCCCGCGGTCTGGATTCTGGGGAGCGGTCCATCGGATACGCGGTCCCACCAGTGCGTTCCGCGCGGGGCATCCGCGAAAAAACGCCCCGTATCCGCGGGGTCGCGGTCTAAGGGCCCAGCCCGCGAGGCTGCGGATGCGGTTGTGCGTTTCGCGGCGGCATCGGGGGCCCGTTTCTACGTCGCCGCCGCGCACGTTCCACGATGCGTGGCCGTCTCGGACACTGCATGCAGCTGATTCGATTGTCCCCGTGTTGTTATCCTCCCTGTTCGCTCGCCCCGAGCCAGAATCCCGAAGTGTAGCGTGGATCTAGAGTTGAGGCTTTCTCATCTGTGGTATATCGCTTGAGTATGGCATAATTGCCTGCCGGGGTGCCCTCTGGGCCAGGGCCAGATCCGCCTCGAAATACTAACCATAACTGCCATACTTCACCCTGAGACAAGTCCGAGGCCGATGTTTGTTGCGGGGCGCAGGGCTTCCGTCATGAGAGAGCAAGACATCATGTTTTCGCCGCGGTCACGCTTCGGGACGATGACGGCCCGTGCGAAGAAAAACACCCTCCCGCGAATGGATCGAGAGTTCCAGGGCCCGCGGATTGAACAACAGTTCGACGTCGGACTGCGTGACGTCGGAGGCTTGGGGAGAAGGATGATCGATGATCAAGGGCTGCTGTGCGTCTTCGACGCGTGTTCGCCTCCACGGGGCCATCACAGGGCCCTCTCCATCCCCCACGCTCTTCCTCGGAACCCCCCTCCCCCATCCCTGCGACGGCCCAGGTTGCATACTCTCGCCGATTGCCGCCCCCCCCTCGCCCCGGGAACCACCCTGCCCAGGGCCAAGGCAACCACATGGGCCAATGCTTCTGCTGATCCACGGCATGGAAGCAGTCCGTGTGCCGACCATGGGGTGGTGCTTTTCTCCAGAGGCACAGCGAGGACGGGGCGCACGACCCTGCCCGCCCGCCTCCGAAGCCAAGGGGGGGCCCTCGGCAGCGAGTCGCCACCCAGGGCAGATGAGGAGGAGGAGGACGAGGAGGAGGAGGAGGAGGAGGAGAAGGAGGAGGACGATGAGGAGGAGGAGGAGGAGGAGGAGGAGGAGGAGGAGGAGGAGGAGGGGGAGGACGGGAGGGGGGACCGAGGAGCGAGGGAGGGGGGCTGAAGGGTCATTGGCTCAGTGCTACCCCCCCGTGCAGTGCCGCCGATGGTGCCTCGCCCGTGTCGGCCCTCAGCACACCGCCCTGCGTCGCGCTGGAGGGCTTCGGTGGCCAGGCACACGCTGGCGCCGACAGCATCGACGGGAGGCAAAGCCCAGGGCACCCGCAAAGGCGCGCGAGGGCGGCCCCGCCTGGCGCCTCGCGGCCTCGACCGCACGGCCGCCTTCCGCTTCCCCGGGGAGGGGGGGGCGCGAGGGCACGCCTCTTCCTGCCCTGCCCGCACGACGACGACGGCGACGAAGACGGACGACGACGACGACGACGACGACGACGACGACGACGACGACGACGACGACGACGACGACGACGACGACGACGACGACGACGGCGGCGGCGGCGGCGGCGGCGGCGGCCGCAGGCGGCCGGCGGCCTGCTCCGTCCTGCCGGCCCTGGCCTCCCGCCTGCGCGTTCGCCGTCATCTGCTCGCTTCTCGTTCCCCCTCTCCCTCTCCCGTCGCCGCGCAGCACAGACTGTCGGGAGCCGGCATGTGCATTGTATGGCACAGATCGGCCCGACGTCGTGTGTCTCCGTTCTGTGTAGGGCCCGCTGGAAGTTCCGACGCCGTTGCCCCGGGCGCTCGGCAGCGGAGGTGCACTACGGCGGGGTGGGGATAGGACTGCAGGAGAGTGGACCCAAAGGGGCCCTGAACGGCCTCGGAGCTGCCACCGGTGCTGGACAGGCGAACGTGCCTTCCCCCCTCCTTGTAGCCCCCCTGCCGTCAACGAACGCCCGAGGGTGGGAGATGTTCGTTGAGTTGCCGTCCCGGGTGAGTGCATGATGCTCCCAGGGCCCTGTCACGGCTTCCCGAGGCCGAAGAGACGCTCCCTGGGACAAAACGTGCGCTGTTTCTTTCGGTGCGCCAGAGGCCCGGGGAGGGAGCGCGGTATAAGGGCGCGGGGAGCGAGGAGGGCCCCGGAGGTCCCCGGCGGCCCCCAGGGTGCCTCGGGGGCCTCAACAAGAGCCAAGAGCGTGCAAAAGGTTTGAGGGTCGAGGGGAAGGAGACGAGGTGGAAAGGTGGCGACGCATGGAAAAGCCTGCTCCCCTCGTATTGTTGCCCCTATCCCTGGCTTCTCATGCCGAGTCATCTCTTGCTTGTCCATGTGCCCTGAGCCCTGAGATCGACTGCCAAAGGAAAAAAGAAGAAACGCCGCAGCTTCTCACCTCGAGTGGAGGTCTTTTGGTAGCAAATCACGGGAGCCTGGTATATTCTGGCAATTTCATACTTATCTTCGATCAGCGTCGATGAGTATCTGGGAGTCGATGAGGTCGCGCCGATGTAGCGTCGGCTCGTGTCGATTAGCGCCGAGTTAGCGTCGATTCGCGTAGATTTAGGGTCGCTTCGCGTCGACTCGCAGGAGCCGACAAGAGGCTCCCATGAGCTGCCACTGGAGAGGTCTTGGCCCCTCCCCCGGCCACCCCCCCTCCTGCATGCTCGGGGCGCAAGGGGGCGGGGGTCCGTGCGAACGGGGGTTCAGCCAGAGCGCCGGGGCGTGCAGGATCCTGCAGGGCCAGGGGCGCCTTGGCCCAGGCTGGCGTGCAGGGTCCTGCTGGATCCTGCAGAGCCTGACTGGCCCTGGTTTGAATTGGCCTCGGGTCAGCAGACCTGGCCGGGCACAGAAACCGAAAGAGCGTTTCGGAAACAGAAACCGAAATTACTCACACCACCGTTCGTGTTGGGAGCCTTTGTGTTGAGAGCTTGTTACGTCACCCCTCGCTCTTGGGAGCCTAGGTGTTCAGAGATTGTTGCGTTGCCGCCCGTTCCTGAGCCTTGGCTGGGCCTTGGTGTCAGGAGCTTGTTACGTCACCGCTCTCTGCTGGGAGCCTTGGTCTTATCAGCTTGTTTACGTCACCGCCGTTCGCTCTTGGGAGCCTTGGTGTGAAGAGCTTTTTGCGTTACCGATCGCTCTCTATTTGGCGTCTCTGGGCCTTCTTGGGAGTCCTATTGGGGCCCTTTTGGACTCTTGGGCCGTCTTGGGGCGGTCTTGGGGACCTCAACGCCGTGAAAGCCGAAAAGCCGTATATGCTAAATAAAAATGTACGTTTCCCAGGAACATCAATGATTTTGGCCTCTTGGGGGCCTGTTGGGGCGCCTCTTGGACGCCTCTCGGGGCGTCTCGGAAGCCTCTGGGGCCGATCTTTGGGGCCTCTTGGGCCGTCTGAGGCCCTTCTGGGACGGAAAAAGGGGAGAACCCGAAAAACATACAAAAACCAAAGGAAAACCCGAAAACGGCCATTAACACTCATTCCCTCCCCCATACCCCCCCCTCTGCACTCCCCCTTAGGGGCTTCGCCCAAAACACAACGTCACCACTCGTACCTCGCTCTTTCCGTTACCTGGCCCGGCACAGAAACCGAAAGAGCGGTTCAGAAACAGAAACCGAAATTACTCACACCACCGTTCGTGTTGGGAGCCTTTGCGTTGAGAGCTTGTTACGTCACCCCTCGCTCTTGGGAGCCTAGGTGTTCAGAGATTGTTGCGTTGCCGCCCGTTCCTGAGCCTTGGTTGGGCCTTGGTGTCAGGAACTTGTTACGTCACCGCTCTCTGCTGGGAGCCTTGGTCTTATCAGCTTGTTTACGTCGCCGTTCGCTCTGCGGAGCCTTGGTGTGAAGAGCTTTTTGCGTTACCGATCGCTCTCTATTTTGCGTCTCTGGGCCTTCTTGCGAGTCCTATTGGGAGCCTTTTCGGGCCCTTCTGGAGGCCTCTTGGGAACCTCTTGGGACGCCTCTTGGGGCTTCTTGGGGGGCTCTGGGGGCCTCCTGGGAGCTTCTTGGGGCGAAAGGCTAGACTTTTCGGTTCGTGGTCCCCCTCTTAGGGCCGTCTTGGGGCCCTCTTGGGCCGTCTTGGGCGCCTCTTGGGCCGTCTTGGGGCCCTCTTGGGCCGTTTTGGGGCCTCTTGGGAGCCTCTTGGGCCGTCTTGGGGCGGTCTTCGGGGCTTCTTGGACCGTCTTCAACACCGTGAAAGCTGAAAAGTCTTGCACGCTAAAAATGTATTCTTCCCATAGGGAATCAATGATTTTGGCCTCTGGTTGCCTCTTGGGACGCCTCTTGGGGGCCTCTTGGGGCTTCTTGGGGGGCTCTGGGGGCCTCCTGGGAGCTTCTTGGGGCGAAAGGCTAGACTTTTCGGTTCGTGGTCCCCCTCTTAGGGCCGTCATGGGGCCCTCTTGGGCGCTTCTTGGGCGCCTCTTGGGCCGTCTTGGGGCCCTCTTGGGCCGTTTTGGGGGCCTCTTGGGAGCCTCTTGGGCCGTCTTGGGGCGGTCTTGGTGGCCTCTTGGGCCGTCGTCAACGCCGTGAAAGCCGAAAAGCCGGATATGCTAAACATATACGTTTCCCAAAGGAACATCAATGATGTTGGCTTCTTGAGGCCCTCTTGGGACGCCCCTTGGGCGCCTCTTGGGGACCTCGTCGGGTCCTCTTGGGCCGTCTTGGGCGGTCTTGGGCTCTCTTGGAGCGCTCTTGGGCCGTCTTGGGGGGGAACCGGAAAAACATGCAAAAACCCGAGGGAAAACCCGAAAATGGTCATTAACACTCATTCCCTCCCCCTACCACCCCCTCTGCACGCCCCTTTAGGGGCTTCGGCCTACACCAGAACGTCATCACTCGTAATCACTCGTACCTCGCTCTTTCCGTTACCTGCTTGGCATGTGGACGGAAAGCGCGTTGATTTTGTGAGGGCGCGAGGTCGTTGCCTTGGGGTCTTGGAGCCCTGTTGGTGTTAAGGCCCCGGTACGACATACAAAAATCTAGCAACCATCTTGCGAAAATCAATGATTATTGCATTTCCAGGCCTTCCTGGGGGCCCTTTGGGAGCTCTTTTGGGCCGTCTTGGAGCCCTTTTGGGCCGTCCCGGACCCTCTTGGGCTGCTTTGGGGGGATTGGGCCGTCTTGGGGCCCTCTGTGGGCCCTCCTGGGTCACTTGGGGACCTCGAGTGGCCCTCTTGGGGCTCTCTTGGGAACCTTTTGGGACCCTCAGGGGCCTCTCTTGGGCCGCCTTGGGGCTCTCTTGGGCCGTCTTGACTTCCACTTGGGCCGTCTTGGGCCGTCTTGGTGTACGTGTTCCAAATGGATTGGGACGATGTGTCCTTGGGGCTCCCCTTTGGGGGCCTCTTGGTGCTTCTTGGAGGCCTCTTGGGCTGTCTTGAAGCCATATTGGGCCCTCTTGGAGCGCTCTTGGGCTGTCCTCGGGCCCTCCTGGACCTCTCCGACGCCGTCTTGGAGATATCTTGGGCGCTTTTGGGGCTGTCTTGGGCCGTCGTGGCGGCCTCTTAGGCTCTCTTGGCACTTGGTACTGACTTGGGCCGTCTGGGGCCGCGGCTGCCAGCCCCCCTCCTTGTTACTTCTCCCGGCGAACGGATCGCGATGCTACGCGCGCTTTCCGTCATCCCCGACATGCCCCCCTCCCGCCCGCGGGGGGGGGAGGGGATGCCGGAGGCCCTGGCGCCTCCAAGTGTGCGCCCAAGACGGGCGGACGGCAACGGGGGGGGGGGAAGGCTATCAGCGCGGAGATCGAGGACTTCAGGAGGGCGGCCCTGAAGGGCTCTTGAAACTGCCGCCGAGGGCCGGGTGCTCGAAAGGGGCTCGTGACTTCACCCCAGGTTTATCACCCCCTTGTTGAACCGAACGCCCGATCGGGCCTGCGCCCTCGACTGCGCCCTGGAGGGGGGGTGGATCGAGGCTCGTTGCGCTGGCAGTCTGCCGCCTCGGGCATTCGAAGCGCCCGAGGACTACTCCAGTTTTCGTAATAAAAGGGAGGGGGTCACAGCCCTCCCAGTCGAGAAGTTTTAGACCCCCCCAGACCATCCATGCAAGGGCGGCCCTTTGCCCAGATCCCCCCGAACCCTCCAAGACAGGTCAAATCAGACCCCCCCCAAATGTGACCCCCCCACTTCTATTATGGAATCCGGAGTACTTTCCTTCCAGCCGACGAGAGGGCGACTCCGCCATGCCAGAACTCGCGAAACAAAACGGGGGAGGCGACGACGGCGCCGACGGGATTTCTCGTTTTGAATGTCTGTCGCACTGTCGGGCCTCCAGGAGGCTTCTCGCCCCCGCGGCTGGATTTCTGCTGAAGTCCTTGCCAGAACGCACCACAGGACAGGATATATCCGTAAGGGCTTCGCCCTCTCCCGCTGGCCCCCTCCGCGTCGGTGCGTGTCGGCGCTGCCTTGGCGCACCTGGGAACATCATGCGGGGGCGGATAGGAGTCTTCAGCTCATGATCAGGCCACCTTGGAGCCCTCTTGGGCCGTCTTGGGGCCCTCTTGGAGGCCCCCTCGCGCGGACTTCAACAATTTACAGTCGGAAGCAGAAAGCAGGACCAGGACCATCAAACATTGATCCTGGACGTAAACACCTTGTGTGGCCCGCGTTGAAACAACAAATCACTAGCGGTCTGGACCCCCATCCTCCGTCTCCCCACCTCGCCCCGTGGATGGATGGGACGCGTCTGCAAAAAAGAGATATCGACTTGGCCCGACCAGCCCAGTGTTTCTGCAGTCAGGTGGCCGGGTGTGTTGTGAGCAAGTCATTGCATCGGCAAAGTGGCCACGTGGAGGACGAGGAGGAGGAGGAGGAGGAGGAGGAGGAGAAGGAGGAGGACGCCAACAATGAGGCGAGGGAGGAGGGGTGGCAGACAGGAAAAAGGAGGATGAGGAGGAGGAGGAGGCAGACATGTTTGGGTCACTTCGCCACTCTCCTCAAATCAATCGCCGTCAGCATCAGCTGCTTTTTTGAATCGAGCTCTTACGGCCCAGGTCTGCAGCTCCGCGCGACGATCGGCCACCGTAGCTTTCCTGCCATCACCTGCAACCCCGCCATACGGGGCCCAAGCGTTTACACCCCTGGTGCTTCCCTCTGTTGCTTACCAGGGGGTCCCCTCCTCTCTCTCGCCTTTCTCCTGCCAGGGGAATTGGTGAGGGAGGCGCTTGTGTCGTGAGCATACTCTTGGGCCCCGCGCGTCATGCAGTACGCCTCGACAGAGCACGCGCGCGGTGCGGCCGCGCAGAATCTTGCGATCGAGGGCAATCAGCCACAGGCAGTCCAGGCGGTGGTGGTCCAAGCTCAGCCAGCGTCGTCGGCTCAGGTGATGGGGATACCCCAAGCAGGGCTGACTCAGGCGGCGCCAGCTCAGGTCGTGCCTGCGCCAGGTCAGGCAGTGATGTACGCAGCCCCGAAGCTTGTCATCGAGCATGGGTTCGGGGACAATCCCCAGCCGCACCAGTGCCAGTGGTGCAACGTCAGCATGGTCACTCGGGTGGAGAAGCAGCCCAGCTGCGGTACGCACCTAGCGGCCCTGGGTATTCAGCGGCCTCCGGCCCATCCCGCAATCGTGATTTTTTCGGCCTAGGCGCAGCGGGAACGACTGAAGTCCACAGCGGACTCCCGGCCGTGCTCTGGGATAGACCCCATGGAAGGCTCCTGCGATCACGGTTCGGGAACAAGACGGCTTCCTAATACGAGAGGGTTTTTTTTCGGAGGTGGATTGGGGGGGTGTCCCTTGGGAGCCGATTGGCCTTCTGGGGGGCCCTTGGGCTCATGGGGCCGTCTGGAGATGGCCAAGGGTATTGGGGCCATCCTGGGTGCCTCTCGGGCCTCCTTGAGTTCTCCTTCGGCCGAAAAGGCGAGAATAGATAAGAATCGGCCAGGAATCCCCAGAATCCGAGGGTCCGGGGTGTTTTTTCTACCACGGACCATCCTGTCGACCACAACGTGCCAGAGGCGTGGTCGTGGATTTGTTTTGTCGGTGGTACTTGTGGATGTTGTTTGATTCCCTACTGCGTTGACCAGTGCAAGGAGACGCTGCACTATTGCACTGCCTGCAACAGGGTGGTTGCCGTCAAGAAGTTTCTGCTGTGATGGCCCCATCGGCGTGTGTACAGATTCGTGCTGTCACGCGGTCTGCGCCAGATACAGGTTTGCTATTCGTCCCCGTTGCAGGGTGCCGCCTTCTGAATACGGAGGCGGTGCTGTGGGGAAGGCTAGCGGGGCATCCAGCGTGGAGTCCGGCATTTGCTCTGCATGCTTCCTCATAAGCAGGACGACTGTGAGAACCGTCGAGTGGTATGCTGTTCCAGTCTACTTTGGCCTTGACCACCAGGAAGAATAATTTCGAGCACCCATCGACTACATAAACTGGAGGGCTCGTACGTGTCGGGCCCTGGGAGGGGATGCTCTTTCGACACTCTTTCGATACTTTACTGGGTGTTCTGAATTATCTCTGGGATGTGGCCCTTAAGTACGATGGGAGCAGCATCAGTCGAGTGGCCCATGCTCAGGCAGCGCGTGAGAGCCCAGTGGCGAGGCGATGGAAAAGGCGCCGCGGCCAGCACGACGTACACGTGCCACGCCTCGCCTCGGAACGGCAGCGAGCTTCGCACACGCGATCGGGAGCCTCGAGACGGGGGTCAGTGCGAACGGGGGTCAGCCAGCGCGCCGGATCCTGCAGGATCCTGCAGGGCCAGGGTCGCATTGACCCGGGCTCGGGTGCAGGATCCTGCAAGACTTTGCAGGATCCTTCACACTGACCCTGGCTTGGGTGCAGGATCTTACGGGATTCTGCAAGGCCTGACTGACCCAGGTCTGGATTGACCCGGGTCAGAGGATCCCCGACGCGAGCAGGTTCCCCCTCTCCGTTTCTCTCTTCGGCGGCGAAATCCGCAGCATGCGCTCGCCGATCCACGATTCGGGCAACTCGATGGGCGGCGGGTGCACAGCCCTGGGTCCGGAATTCGTCGAACGCGTGGCGAAATCCGAACCCTAACCCCGCCTCCCATCGATTCGCGAGGGGGTAGGGTTCGGATGTCGTCACCTACTTCTGCTCACGCGAGCAGAAGAGCGGCGTTAAGAGACAGCGTCAGGCCCGAGAACTTCGCGCGGGGGCCGAGCAGGTGTACACGCGACGGGCGCGCTTGCGAGAGAGGGATCGCCGATCCATCCACTTCGCGTTAGATCGGGCGTGTCCCCCTACAGGCGGAGTTTGAACGAAAAATAACAAGTACCCCAAAAGTGCCCCGAAAACGGACAAAACATACCGCCCAAACCGTCCCTAGGCTATTTCACTTCTTCTTGAATATTCCTCCTGTAGAGGGAAGGGCCCGACTTTCCGCACACGTGACGGATGGCGGTCCAGCAGGCGGGTCCTGTGCCATGCCGTCTGCCGGGCAGGCCTCGGGGCCTCGGGTCGTGCCTCTGTGGCCGGCCCGGAGGGCCCGTCTCGGCGCCCCGGACAGGGGGGGCGCGCCACCGGAGGGGCGTGAGTTTCAAAGGAGTCCCAGCGGTGCGCGAGTGTGAGGGGTGGTTTTCCCCAGCGCGACGGGGGTGGGGGTAAAACAGGGCTAGGATCGGGATAAATCGCTCCAGAGCGTTCCGGAGCGCTCTCAGAGCGTTCCGGAACGCTCTGGAGCGGCCGCGGCGCCCAATACATCCTCCAAACCCGCCGATTCTCAGAGATTTCGAGTTATCCCGATCAGATTTTGTCCCGATCTTCGCGTCGTTTTAGGGGGGCGACAGTCGAGGGGAAGGGAGATGGTCGGAGGGGAGAGAGGTGAGACCTGAGGGAGGGGCGAGGGCTCCTCCCCGTCTGCCACCCCAGAAGCGTGCTCCTCCTCGTTCCTGAGCTTGCCGGCTCTCCATGCATCCTTCCAAGCTCCCGGTGCTCGCGTCGCGCACAGAGCTTCCCGCCGTGGTGCCTGACCTCCACCCTCGCCCCCATTCCCCCGCCGCCGCGCCCCGACGAAGAGCAAGCGGCGCAACCACGGATGTTCGGAGCTCCGCGCGGATGATCTGCGCGGGGCCCCCGCTGGCGGCGCCTCCGGCGCAGCCCCTGGCGCGCTCCGCGCGCCGGGGAGTTCGGTCCAGCGCCGATATTCAGAGCGTGAATTACTTACCCCGCTTTCGCTTCCAGGCAAAACCAAGCCGTACCACGCGCCTCCTCGTCAAGCGGCCTGACCAGTACAGGCTGCAATTTGGCATCGTTTGGTGTCTCTTGGAAGCGAGGGTGGTCAAAAGCGAGGTAGGTTTGTTTTCCCCCTAGATATAAGAAATCCGCACGGTCACCCGACAGATTTATCCGTAAGTGCTTCGCGCCCTGCCTCCGGCCCCCTCTCTTGGCAGAATGGGAAATATACTAGTCGCGTCGGTGCGTCTCGGCGCTGCCTTGGCGCATCTGGGAACATCATGCGGGGCTGGATAAGACTCATCAGCGCATATTGAGACTTTGGCGTTATCGAAGACGCCTCGGCGAACGGCGACTCACCGCCGCCCCCTGCCATCGAAGATCGCCCATGTGGCCGAGCGTTGTGGCAAGAGCTCCGCCAAGCGATCGGACCATGTGTTCCCCCAACCGTTGTGGTAACCCTTCGGGGAACACTTGGCGGAGGATGGCGGGGAAGATCAGGAGGTGGAGGAGGAGGTGGAGGAGGAGGAGGAGGGGGCATCTCGGGAGCCTATGGGGACACTCTTGGGGCCTCCTGGGAGCTTCTTGGAAGCCTCTTGGAGGCATCTTAGGGGCCTCTTGGGCCTATTGGGGGCATTTGGGGGCTTCTCGGGTGCCTCTTTGGCCGTCTTGGTGGGCTCCTGGCCCGTCTGACGCCGACGGAAGTTGTCTTGGGGGCCTCTCTCGACTTGGGGCCCTCTTGGGGTGCTCCAGGACCGTCTTGGAGGCCATCCTGGGCGTCTTGGAGGCCTCTTGGGCCGTCTTGGGACCCTGTTGGGGCCGTCATGGGGGCCTCTTGGGCCGTTCTGGGGCCATCCTGGAGGCCTTTTGGGCGATCTTGGGACGATCTTTGGGGGTTCTTGGGCCGTCTCGGACCGTCGGTAGGCCGAAAAGAAGCAAATGTCAACATCCTTCAAACACCTACGGTTAAGTCGGGCCTGTCCCTCTACAGGGGGAATCTTCAAACATAGTAGAACAATAGTTTGGGGACGATTTTTCTAGTATGTTTGATAATTGTTGAGTATTGTTTGACTATTGGTTTCCTCCACAATCTTCCTGTAGGGGACATGCCCGACCTAAACCTACGTGAAATCAATGCTGTTGGCCTCTTCGGGCCTTCTTGGAGGCCCTCTTGGAGGCCTCTTGAGCCGCCTTGGGCCATCTTCGAGCCATCTTGGGCCGCCTTGGTGGGCTCCTGGCCCGTCTGACGCAGTCGGAAGCTGTCTTGGGGGCTCTTTTGGACCAAAGAAAAGAAAGGGTCAAGCACGCCAGGCACCCCTGCGATGAATCGACAGGGGGCGGCGGATCGAAGACGCCTACGGCGAATCACCGCCGCCCCCTGCCTTTGTGGAAGCGCCTATGTGGCCGAACGTTGAGGCCAGACCTGCCAAGCCATCGGACCATGTGTTCCCCGAATCGGTTTGGAAAGCCTTCGGGGAACACGTGGGCGTCTTGATGGCCATCGTCGCCGTCTTGGAGGCCTCTTGGGCGATCTTTCGGCGATCTTTGGGGGCTCTTGGGCCGTCTCGGGCCGTCGGAAGGCCGAAAAAAGGGAAATGCCCAAATCCATCAAAAACCTTGGAAAAATCAGTGATTTTGGCATCTTTTGGCCTTCCTGGAGGCCCTCTTGGGGGCCTCTTGGGCCCTTTTGGGCCAGCTTCGAGCCAACTTCGGCCATCTTGGTGGGTTCCTGGCACGTCTGACGCCGTCGGGAGCCGTTTTGGGGGCCTTTCTGGGCCAACGGGGGACCCTCTTGGGGCGCTCCAGGGCCGTCTTGGAGGCCATCTTGGGCGTCTTGGAGGCCATCTTGGGCGTGTTGGAGGCCTCTTGGGCCGGGGCCCTCTAGGGGCCATCTTGGAGGCCACTTGGGCCATCATGGGGCTCTCTTGGGGGCCTCTTGGGCGATCTTGGGGGCTTCTTGGGCCGTCTCGAGCCGTCGGAGAGCCGAAAAGGCGCAAATGCCAGAATCCTTCAAAAACCAAGGAAAAATCAATGATTTTGGCCTCTTCGGACTCTCCTGGAGGACCTCTTGGAGGCCTCTTGGGCCGTCTGGGAGGCCTCTGGGGGGCCTCTTGGGCCGTCTTGGGCCGTCTTGGACTCTCTTGGGCCGTTTTGGAGGCCGTCTTGGACCATCTCGGGCGGACTTGGAGGCCATCTTGGGCCATCTTCGCGATTGTTTGAGGATGTCCCGAGCGAAACGGCCGTTTTTTGGAGGATTTTTTCCGGTCGTTGAGCACGTTTGGGGATTTTCCGGGTGGCCGGCGGGTTCTGCAAAACCAAAACCTAACAGCTCATCCAGCACGCCGTGCACCCCTGCAAGCAGGGGGCGGCGGATCCTAGTGGCCTTCGGCCCATCCCGCCACCGTACCTGGGTTGTGGGTCTGAGGCCTCTTGGTCATGTGTTGGGGTGTCGTGGGGAGCCTCTCGGGGGCCTCTTGGAGGCGGTTTGGGCGCCTCTTGGAGGCTTCTTCGGGCCTCGTGGGGTATCTTTTGGGCCTCTCGGAGGCCTCTTGGGCGCCTCTTGCGGACTCTTGGCGGCCTCTTGGGGCCTCCAGGAGGGCTTCTCGGGGCACAAATATTGGCTCTTCTGTTCGTGGTCCCCTGCTTGGGCCCCCATGAGGAGGAGGCGGAGGAGGAGGAGGAGGACGAGGAGGGAGGAGGGAGGAGGGAGGAGGGAGGAGGGAGGAGGGAGGAGGAAGGAGGAGGAGGAGGAGGAGGAAGAGGAGGAGGAGGAGGAGGAGGAGGAGGAGGAGGAGGAGGAGGGGCTGAACCTCCCGCCCCCAGTAGCGTTTTTCTGATTTGGGGAGGGGGCCCTGTCGCGGCTCACTGGCTGGGTGGATCGCAGCCCAGTCGGTGAGTGACAAATTCTGAGGGCCCCCCTCCGAACTTTTATATAGGGGCTCCGGAGGAGGAGGAGGAGGAGGAGGAGGAGGAGTATCGTGCGGTGACGCACCGCGCGGTGAGGTCTTGTGATTTCGAAGTTCCCACGGGGTCAGCCACACGGCTTTTGGACTCCCGAGCCCCCCCTCGAGCGCAGTGCGGATGCCGAGGATTTTGAGGAGGCCTCTGGCTTTTAGGCCTCAGCTTCGGGGCCTGACTGGGCCCTCCCGAACTGGATTCTGGCCGCTGCCTCATCTCATCACCCCTGCCTTAGCCCGCAGACCGCCAGGCCTTCCACTCCCTCGGCCCGCCGCCGCCAGCGGCAGCCGCGGGCGGCCGCGTGCAGAGGCTGCCCAGGCCGCGGGTGGGCCGGGGAGGTCCTCAGGAGGAGGGGGAGGAGGGAGGGGAGAAGGGGGGGAGAGGGAGGGGGAGGAGAGGAGGAGGAGGAGGAGGAGAGGAGGAGGAGGAGGAGGAGGAGGAGGAGGAGGAGGCGAAGGAGGCGCTGAGGCGAGGCGAGGCGCAGGCGCAGGCGCAGGGGCAGGGGCAGGGGGGCAGGCGGAGGGGGGGGCAGCGGAGGGGCAGGGGAGGGGGAGGGGAGGGGGGAAGGGGAGGGGGAGGGGAAGGGAGGGGGAGGGGGAGGGGGAGGGGGGAGGGGGGAGGGGAGGGGGAGGGAGGAGGAGGAGGAGGAGGAGAGGAGGAGGAGGAGGAGGAGGAGGAGGAGGAGGAGGAGGAGGAGGAGGAGGAGGAGGAGGAGGAGGAGGGGCCTCTTGGGGCCTCCTGGGCACCTGGGGCCCTCTTGGGCCATTTTGGAAGAGATCGATCAAAGGAGGGGCCGTAGTAGATCAGCCCTCTCAGGAGGCCAACATGTCGGCAAATCCTAAGTAACATCCGCAATTGTGGTTTCCTCGCCGAGGCCATCTTGGACGATCAAACCCCACGCGGAACGCCACGTCCAGGTCCAGGGGAAGGGTGCAGGGTGAGGGATAACGCCTCCCCGAAGGGGAACAAGGAGTAAACCCCTCCCCAAGGAAACGCTCTAAACCACTGACGATGTTCATGTCCTGTTCCCCCCTCTCGTTCTCCTCTTCCCTCCTCCTCCCCCTCCTCCCTCATTCCTTGTTCCCCCTCCCCCCCTCCTCCCGCCTCCCCCATTACGTACTTGTTTCCCTTCCCGCTTTTCCCCTCCACCCCCCCTTCAGCTGGTCTTAGCTGGGCCTGCCTGCGCTCTTGTCCGCAGTGGTGATCGATCGTTGGTTCGTTGGTTCCTCGTTTTTCCTGAAGGTCTGCGGAGGTCCTTGGGAGGCCTCTGGAGGCTCGAGGGGCAGGTTGTCGTCCACAAAGGCCTGGAGCCTCAGGAGGGAGGCCCCTTCCTCCCGTCGTGTCGTCTCCCTACTCGCTCCCCGCCCCCCCCCCCTCACAGCCATGATTACCCGTCGGTCGTCGAAAGTCGAAAGTAGGCATTTGTTGATGCCCAAGTCCCATATCTACCCTAGGCGCCTTCCCCTACTTCAACAGTCGAGTGGTATTCCCTCCGCCCTGGTCCTCAGGGGCCAGGCGGAAGCCCAATCTACTTCCAACGTCTTCCTGCTTCGTGTCTCCACCCACATCTTCCGACCGACGGAATATTACTCTCCTCTCTCCTTGGATCCTGTCGGAGCGTGGCCCGTATTCTTCCGCCGAGAGCTGTTGAGCGCGTACGATTGCACGACATGATATGTGTAATGGTTGTTTCAGTATCAGCGTTCCAGGCGTTTCGAAATGGTGTTCCCATTGCAGTGTTGGCTTCGTTTTAGGATCGACGCTTTGCCCCCGCTTTTCAACAGTGCAAGCGTTCCTGCCACAACGCAGGCCACTCTTCTGGGTCCGACTTTAAAATAGTAGTGGTTGCCCCGCTCGTTTCCCCTCCTCCGGTTTCCACTGGTCATCTTGCTCCTCCCGCTCCTCCAACCTCTGCTGTTCCTGCTGCTGCTTCTCCTCCTCGTCCTCCTCCTCCCCCTTCTCCCCTCTCTCCTCGTCCTTTTGTAGGGGCATGGTACCGCATCCTGGTGCCAGGGCACACTGTCACTTGGAGTCGACGCATGGGCGCTGGGGACAAGCAGGCGGCCGTTGTCTTGCCGTGGTGGAGGATTCAATTCCCTCGCACCATGGGTTCCATGCGCAGGTGAGGCACACGTTTGCCCTACTGGGTCCGTCTAGCTGCCCCGTAGTATTAGGGTCGGTGCAGCGCGGCCAGCAGAATCAGAACCCGTATCGTCTCCAGAGGTGGGTGTTTCGTTCACCCCAGCACCACCGGAGGCGGTACACCACCTCGGGGAAGGTGGCCGCAAGTGGGCAGGCGTCAAGCTCTTGGCCAATCCCAGCGCGCCTTTTCGTTTTGGCGCTCCCTTCTTGGGCGCTGACCACCGTCGCTTTGCACATGCCTCTACATGCTTCTTCCCTCCCTCCTCATCCTCTTCCTCCTGTTCATCCTTTGGCTCACCCGCGACCTCCAACTCCTCCTCTTCTTCCGCCTCCTCCTCCTCCTGGGCAGATGGGGTACCTCACCAGCCCCGACTGTCCCTTCTGCGAGGGCCCCTTGCCGTGCACGCGGGGCCACCAGTTCTACGAGTGCCCGACCATCCTGGCGACTGGTTCTCAGGTGGACTCCAAGGGCATCGAGCCGATTTCAGAGCAGGCTGCCAATGTGAGGGCCGGGCGCAGGGAGCGGATCCACATCGGGGCGGGCGACGAGGACTACGACAGGTTCGACGTCATCACAGGTACCCCGCAGATGCCCTACGCTGTCCCTGGTGCGGAGCGGCTCCAGGACTGTTACTGGTGGGGCGACTGGACCTCCTACGTGGGCGACAGGAGCACCATCGTATACCACGACGGGTCGGGCTACGAGACGGCCTGGCCCGAGTTGACGAGATGTGGCTGGGCCTGTGTCCGAGACTTCCTTTTGAATGCAGGGCGTGTTTGAGGTGGAAACGAATTGAAGTAGGTTAAAAGTAGCTCCTGAAGTAGGTTGGCGAAGTAGGTCCGCAATGCGCGTGGCAACAGGGGTCGGCGAGGGCAACTCCGAGGGATAGGATTGCGATCCCGACTGCCGCAAGTAGCTTTAAAGGGAAAGGATTGCGAACATAATTTTCAGAAGTAGCTGTCGAGGGAAGGTTGTCGGGAATACTATCATAACTAATTTCTCGGGAAAGGGCCATTAAACGCATTTTCCAAAGAAGCTCCCCGGGGAAGCGTTTAAATGTCGCTGGCAAGGCGCGACCTCTGCAGGCCAACCTGCCGAGGAAATAGTGAAACGCGCTGACCTGGGCTCTCTTGGGCCCTCTGGGGCTTATATTGAGGCCCCCAAAAACCATCGGAAGCTCATGGGCGACAATGCCATTGCCCAAATCATGTGTCCCCGCGTGCTTTGGACAGATTCCGGTTTCTCGGAGGTGCCCTTGGGAGCCTCCGCGGCCACTTGGGGCGGTCTTTGGGCGGTCTTGGGTCTTTTCGGATCACGCGGGATACAACGTTGGTCCATCTTGGGCAATATTGAAGGATCTCGTCGACCACGTACCACTCTGCGAGGTCATGTTGGCTCCGTATTGGGCCGTCTTGGACGCTCCAGCGCTCCGACGCCCCGCCAGTGCAGACCCAGGAGGGAGGTGGGAGGGGGGAGGGCGCACCCCTCCCCGAAGGTGGAGAAGGGGAGATTAAAAAGGAAACAGTCTAGACCACCGCCGTCCCGAGGGCTGGGGGGGCTACGTTTCCCGGATGGTCTGGCGATGGTTCCCACTGCGAATCTGCCGCCATAGGCTTGTGGCTCAAACGCCATTCGCGGGAGTCCTTTGATTTGAATGTGGGATGCTAATCACGCCCCAGAGTCCGACGCTGGCAGTCTTTCACCGCCAGAGTACCTCGCAGATGTCCCGGGCGAGGGCGGCGCCGACGCATCTGATGCCGCGGGCAGTGCTGACGTGGAAGACGAGCCCTTGATCACGACGGATATTCCGCTGCCCAGCGACAGGCCGCGCCGAGGCAGAGTTAAACATGTTATTGCCTTGGTGGACCAGAGGTTGGCCGTACATCAGTCGGAGGGCGGCTTGCCCCCCCTGCAGGAGGCGCCCGCGTCAGTCGGTGATGTGCCCGCACAGCTAGCGGCTGCGTTAACCCATCCGGAGCGCGTCGACCTCCATATTGGTTCGCATGAGAGTTTTTGTCTGTCGTCTCCGGTTCACACTGCGGTGGCGAATGCTCTCCGGGACAGCCTCGTGTCCCGCCCGACAAACGCGGGCGCCGACGTGCTCGTGTTTTGCAGGCAGCTTTACGGCGACAGTTATGCCGCGCAGACGTCGGAGTGCCGCGAGACAAACCTCAATCACAAGACAGTCGGTACTGCCAGGGAACGCACTGCGGCGATATATTGGTCGCTGGCAATGTGGGGGAAATTTCGCACCGATTCCATCTTTGCGAGAGTGCTTGCCTGCGGCCAGATCCAGTGCGCCGAATCTCAGAGGTACGACGAGACGCCGATGCCTCTCAGGACAAGGCACAACTTCCAGGTCAACATGGATGTACTATCGAAGCTCAAGACCTTAGTCGCGTCCGGCGCAGTTGCGAAACAGCTGTCCTCCTACGTCAAAGCCAAGCCGTCTACAGGCACGGCGAAGATATTTCAGCCGGAGCAGACCGTCGGCCACGCTCTGGAGCTGAACGGCGAGATCTTCATCTTCCTTGCGAGCACCCCCAGCCCGCTGTTGCTAATGGAAAACACTTCTGCGACTGTGACGAAGGAGGCGACTTATAGGGCGATGGTTACAAGCATTAGTTTCAACCAGGTGGAGCACCCGCGCAGGTGGTCCTGTTCAGACAGAGCTGGGTCCAATCTGTTAGCAGAGTGGTCGATCGATCAATCGAGGAGCGGGCGCGGGTGGGCCGAGGCCCATTTGGATTGTGAGTTTCACGCGGTGGGCGCAATCTTCAACGATTCCATTTTTAAAGTCGGTAGGGAGGCCGTGGCGGGCACGCTGCCTTCAACGCTAGCCGTGCAATTCAGCAAAGACATGGACATATTCCGGCAATGCTTGTACGATGAGATCGCGGGCGCCTTGGATATCAATCTCGGCAGGCCCAGCGCCGAAACGCTCCGTTATCGCAGTTTGATGTTCGATGTCTCTTTCACCAGGAAAGACCCGACGTCCAGCTCCAACGAGCCGTGTCTTACCTAGCCCCCCCCCCCCCTTTGGCGGCGGGGTCCAATAGCGGGGGTTGACCCTCGGGCAGCAGAGGGTTGCGCCGCGCCCAGTAGCAGGGGCTCCGTTTGCAGCTTGGGCGGCCGAGGGGTTCGCCTTCGGGGAGGAAGACCACCCCCGGGGGATTCCCGCCTTGCGGGAACAACCTGGAAGCGCCTTCGGTTGCGCCCCTTTTTGGGGGCACTTCGCAAAAAACGTTGTGGGCTCGACCCCCCCGGGGGCGGCTTCTCGGAAAAGCTCCGGCAAACATGCGCTGATGTATCACGGAAACGCGGCCCCAAAGTAGGTCGCAAAGTAGGTTCCCGGAATTATTTTTTACAAAGTAGGTCCCAAAGAAAGTTGTTTGGAATCCAGAAGTAGGTTTTGGGTGCACACAAGTAGGTTTCGAGAACCCCAGAGTAGGTTTTGGGAGCCCGAAAGTGGGTTTCGGGAGGCCCAAACCTATTTCAAACCTACTTAAAACTTACTTCAAACCTATTTCACCTACTTCAAACCTACTTCAAACCTATCTAAAACCTACTTTAAACATACTTTAAACAGATTTCAACCTACTTCAAATTTACTCCAAACCTACTTCGAACCTACTTCAAACCTACTTCAAGCCTACTTCAAACCCACTCCAAACCTTCTCTTTCACTCACGGAGGATGAGGGATGGACGTAGGAGGCGGAGGAGGGGGAGGAGGAGGAGGACGAGGACGAGGAGGAGGATGAGGGCGAGGACGTGGGTCAGGAGGAGGAGAAAAAGGAGGAGGAGGGGGGGATGATGATGAGGAGAAGGAGGAGGAAGACGAAGAGGAGGTGGAGGAGGACGACGAGGAGGAGGATCAGGAGGGGAACGGGGAGGGCCAGGACGAGGATGAGGAGGACCAGGAATAGGATGTGGAGGGGGAGGGCGAGGATCTGGAGGATCGGGAGGATCAGGAGGAGGAGGAGTCGATGATGGCGCGGAGGATGAGGGGGAGAAGGTAGGAGCACGAGAAGGGACATAATGAGGAGGACGAGCAGGAGGGAGATGATGACCGGGGGGGTCGGGGGGGAGGACGAGTTTGAGGGCATTGATGATGAGGAAGAGAATGAGGAGGCAATGCTGGACGACGCTGCGAAGCATGATGAGGATTATGACGAGGGGCTGGGGTTAGAGTGGCCAGGGGCGGGGCGAGTCACCAGTTCCCACCTCGGGACTGTCTCGGGTTTATATTGGGCCCTCTCGGAGCCATCGCGAGGCTCCCAACGCCTATCGGGTGTGAAAATACGATAATACAGACATCGCTTGTTTCCTGCAGGTTTTGGGCGGGTTTGGGCTTCACGGGGATGTCCTTGGGAGGCCCCGTGGCCACTCAGGGCCGTCTTGGGGCGGCATTGAGTTTGTTCTGGAACATCTCGGAAACAACATTGAGCCATTTTGGGCGTCATCTTGAACCATGTCCTAGACCGCGCAGCGCTCCCCGAGGCCCTTTTGGCTCTATCGTAGGTTATTCTGGCCCATCCAACCGCCGCCCTCCCAGCCCGAACCCAAAGGGGAGGGGGTAACGGGGAGCGGGCCAACCCCGCCCCGAATGATGACAAGTGGGTAAGAAACGGGAACGCACCAAACCACCTCCGCGCAGAGGGCCGGTGGGATCCATGCATCTGGTTTCTGCCGTCCTCGTTCCTTCCCTTTTGTTTTTCATCTCCTCGTCCTCGGTCTCTCCTCGCGCTCCCTCCGCCTCTTGCCGCTGCCATCCCTCGTCGCCACTGCCGCGGGGAGAGGGGGGCGGTTGGCGGCGGGAGCGGCGCCCCCGGAGAGCGCGTCGGCGAGTGGCTCCACGCGGGTGGCGGGGTTCCGGCGGCGCCCCCGCCTTCTGGGGGCGGCGGCGGGGAGAAGGGCCGCAGGGGGAGGTGGAAAGGCAGGAGTTGGCGGTCGGAGGGTTTGGAGCAGAGGGGGGATGCGGGAGGGGTGGCGGGGGAGGCGGAGGAGGAAAAAGGGGGAAGGAATGTTCTTGGGGGACCGCGACGGCAAAAGGGGAGGAAGGGGGCGGAGGAGGAGCAGGGGCGGCGGGGAACTGTTACGGAGTTGGGCGGGTGGTCGGTGGATGAACAGGAGCAGGAGGAATGTTTTTTTTGTTGCTTTAAGTTGGGGCAGCCTTTACCTCGCAAACCACAGCGGTCAGAGATCCCAGCGCTCGTCGTCGCCAGGGGTGGTCCTGGCAGCGTATATGGGATGCCTTGCTGACGTGGAAGCGGGGCCACGGCGTGCCCGAATCTCGCCGGACATCTTATGGCGTCTTTTCGGTTCGAAGGTTTTTTGTGCCGGTGGCGGTCTGGCATGACCAGGGCGCCTTGAAGAATGTCGCTCGCCGCCCCAGTTGCTGGAAATGATCTGGCCGAGTTTCTGGGTCATTCACAGCCGTGGTTGTGTTTTTGGCGGTTCTGCTTTGCGGGGGTCGCCGCCGCAGCCGCTCTGGTTCTGCCGACGGTCTACGTTTAGTGTTCGTGGGTGCATCGCGCGAGATCGGTCGCGGGCCCTGTCTGCAATGTAGCCCTGGCGATGTTTCCTTGGCTTGTTATCGGGCAGCGTTACCGCGGCCAGAAAACATCTCCAAGTGCACTTGCCAGACCTAGTCTGCCCACTGCGTTTTGCCAAGTCAGTTGGCCGCACCTTTTGCACCGATGCGCTTTGGCAAACCCAGTTGTGGGCGGCTATATATCCAATGGCGTTTTTCGGCGCGCTTGGAACCGTTTTCCTGGAACCGACTCTGCTTGCGAACGTATCTCCCGAACCTACTTTTGAACCTATTCCAAACTTGTCTCGGCATGTTTTGGCTTCGCTATAGCCCTGCATTGCCGAGGAAGTCTCGGGCCTGTGTGCAGGTCAGCTGTGATGGCCTCCCCCTTCGTGCAGTATTTGGACCTTTTCCTGGAGGCCGTCAAACGGTGGGTCGGGCTGAGCGTCACGCGCTGCTGATGGCCATGACGGGCGTGCCGTACCTGCGGTTCGTCGTGACCGACCTGGCGGCGCTGGCGAGAGAGGTCGACGCCTGGGACTACAGCCAGGCGGCTTCCGGAAGTGAGTACGCGGACATTTGGAGGTCCATCTTCGAGCTCAAGGATGGACGGTCCGATGATGGCCGAGTTCGGCCTGCTGCATGCTGGTGCCCTGCGCACCTCGACCTCGGCAAGTTCGTGGCCCAGTTGGGGAGCTGTGCTGGGGATTTCTACGGCAATCAGTGGGCCTTGACTTTTTCGCCAAGGTTGGCGGGCGATTGCACAGGCTGCCCGCCACTCTCTTGGACCTGTACAAGGTGAAGCTCAGAGACGCGAGGGAGGAGGCGAAGGCCCTCTACTGGCTGATGGTGGCGGTCGGTGGGCATGCCGACGCCGCTAGCACGCTCGTGCCGCCCCGTGTTCGCCTCGCGGCGGGGCCCCGGCCTGTACAGTTGGTCGGGTCTCGTCACGACCTGGAACGCCTCGGAGGCACCGTGCGGTGCAGGAGGTGCGGCGCGACGGCGGCCACGACTGCCAGCAGGGCCCGTCTGGCCTCTAGCACCTGCGTGCCCACCAGTTTGCAGGAAATGATGGCTCGTGCTCGAGCTGGTCTCCCCTACTCGTCCTCCGCCGCCCCGCTCCCCTCTGCGCGAGAGGAGGCCATCAGGGTCGCCCTCCGTGCCGCGGACCGCTTTCTGGCCTCCGCGGGTGATGCTGAGGATCGGCCATCGGCGGCTGCGAGACCGTGGATTCCTGGGCCCGCCGAGCCCACGGGCTGTGCGGGCGGGGGCCCCCCTGTGGTGGACAAGTGGTCCGACAGGGAGGTCCCCTTTTGTCAGGCCCTTGCGGGATTCCGGAGCCCCTGAGGCCCAGTATGAACTCTTCCGTGGCCACCATTTGGTCACCGAAGGGCCTTATGTTTACTGTTTGCGCTGCGGTGGATCTGCATCCACCCGACAGTCGCCAACTTTGTTAAATGAATGCCTGGGTCAAGTGGCCTGGGCCACCAGCCGTATCAGAATGACGGTTCTGGCTAATCTCCAGGGCCCCCGCCACCCTCGGACGGGGGCCCCATAGGCGGGCACGGACCGCCTGGGTCCAGGAGATAGCCACATAGTGTAACACGTGGCTCTCTTGGGGGCGGGGCCTAGCCGCGCCTTGCAACGGAGTCATTATATCGTCCGATCATCCTCCCCCTCCTCCTCCTCCTCCTCCTCCTCCTCCTCCTCCTCCTCCTCCTCCTCCTCCTCCTCCTCTGCCTCCAAGGTATACAAATCCCCTTTTCTGATTTCGCCTGGGGGAGGGGTGACGTCCGTTAGAGGGTTCAAGGCCTGGAAGAAAAACCAACGCAATAGGAATGGATGGATGTGAGGATGTCAGATTTGACGTTCGCGCACCTAGCTTGCCTCCTCGTGCGTTTATAATTTGTTCCTCTTTCGCGGGTGCTTCGCCTCCGTCGCATCGCCCCCCCCCTCCTCCCAGAATCTTTTCGCCTTCCATCCCTTTCGTTCCCCGTCGTCGTCCCCCTGCTGCTTTACCAATTTGGCGCATTCGGTTACTGCGACACGCTGGAAGGCCAAACAGAGTTTGCAGAAATGCTTGGGCAGGGTCTTCTTCCACGTCCCCGTCCCCATTCATCACCCATCGTCATCCTCGCTCCTGGCCATCGTCATCGTCATTTGCATCATCATTGTCCTCTGCGGGACATCGAGAGGCCCAATGGCCCCGCAAGGGACACATACGGACTCAGCCTAGACGCCTGGCGTTCATGGGAATATTAGCGCGCGCATCCAAACCATTTGTTTGTTTCTCGCCGTGGGCTGTTTCATTGTTCGTAGTAGGCTTACGAAGGGGGATATACAATGCCTGACGGTTCGTGTGGATTCCCCAACCCATCCAGAAAAACGATCAACATCGAGTTGGATTCAGAATGAAAGCCTGAGCATAAAATGGGACAGCCGTCAAGAAAAAAGGAAATTATTGGAACGCCGAGTTCATCAATTAATAATGCCCCGGCGTGTTGTCATGATCAAGGGAATGTGATGGCATGCAATAGAGTAGGCGCATTGGAAGTGCAACGTGAACGCAGAAACAGGGAGGGAAACTATGTTGAATGGGTTGCCAAATGTTCCCATGCCCTGGCACTCATATTGGTCCATGTTTGGGCTTTGTGCCACCACTGCCACCGGGAGGGGCATCCCAAACCAAAGCAGGGTTTTGCAGGGTCATGGCGAAAACCTGCAAGGCGTCCCACTGGTCTGAAGGGTATCGCATGGTATTGCAGGGTCGCTGCAGGTTACCAGGGTCGTTTTGCAGGGGCTTGTGCAGGGTCTTTGCACGGGGGCGTTACAGGGTTATAGACTGCAGGATTTTGGAGGGTGTCCAGGGGAGAGGGTGGGGGGGGGTTGGTCTATTCTATTTTGAGAACGAAGAGGAAGCACGTTGGGCGGCTCGTCAAGATACGACAACGCCAATTTTATTTGGAGGGCAATGGGGCGGGGGCTTTGTCTTCAACGTTCCACATGTTAGGTTTTCAGACCATATTATGCATAGCGCTCGTCGGCTGTCGCAGACGGGCTTAATTCTGCAAGTCGTCCACGGGTTTCCTTGACCGCCAAGCCCGGACAAAATCCATAAGTTCTCCTTCCTCGAAGGACGATTCTGGGCGGGAGGGAAGGAGGAACGGAACGAGATGACGGATGGCGGGAAGGAGTGTGAGAGCGAGTTTCGAAGGACAAGTTGTTGCCAAATCGCAGAGGCCAGTTAGCCCCGGCACGGCAAGGCTGGACGGGCCTAGCAACGGAGCAGCAGTCAGACCGCAGATGTGGTTGGTTTCTTGCAAGCGCGCGCAGGCATACACAGCTACAACTTGCTCCGCCACTTCAAAGTAGGGATCACGGGCGTATCAAACGTTGTGCGAAGTTGACGAGTGGTGGGATATTGTATTACATGCGTAGATTCGGGCAGTTGGTTTGATCATTCGATTTTTGTTCAATATCCGGGTCTTGCACAATGCACTGCCCGAGCTCAGAAGAAGACCGTTGTTGTCTTGCCATCTGCATCCCCGCTACCCTTCCGCAATCTTCCATGGCGCAGCCGTTCTGACGTTTTCCCACCTTTGTTTTCCGTGGCGTTGTTGTCAAAGATAACACATTTGACGCCGGTCTTGCAGTTTGGGTCTGGCATCTGACCTCAGACTGAGGCGTACACGCAAGTTGCGCAGGCGAACCTCCGGGCCATGCATGTTACTAGTGTTCGTTTCTGGATCGAGGTGGTGTCGAGAACGGTCGGGCATTGACGAGGCAGCAGAAGCCGTGGGGCGTTATGATGCTTACATATCGTTCACTCCCCAAACAGAGCTTGCACTGAGTGGTTCTCACTTGTCTTAACCATCTGGGGACCCGTGCCGGCTTTTCGTCGCCGTGCCGCCCGTCGCCGTCCGTCGCCGTCGCGGTCGCCGCCGTTCGGGGCAAGTGGCGGTTCTTGCGGGCGGTACCGACCGTCGCCGCCGTCGCCGCCGTCGCCACTCGCCGCCGCTCAGGGCGAGTGGCGTTTTTTGCGGGCGGTGCCGCCCGTCGCCGCCGTCGCCGTCACATTGATTCCCCTTTTCTAAAAGGAGAATACATTCTACCCCTTCCCCCGGGAGAAGACGCCCCCCCTATTCGTATGGTAAGTTGCATGCGATTCTGCCCCAATCGTCCATCCTAAACCTGAACCAGTACCATCCCAGCCAGGCCGTTATCGGCCCCCCTCGGCCATCCTCTGCAACAGAAACTATGCGCGCGCACTCCTGTATCACAAATCAGAAGTTTCCAAGATCCCTTTGCAACAAATGTGGCGAAGTGCACCCGCGCGCGTCGTCGCGCGCGCATGCCGAAATCGATCAAACACCTTCGGTTTCAGAACGAATTCAAAATCGACTGTCCGCAAAACATGTGTGTTCATTTGGAAAAGATGATTTTGCAGCACGGCTGTCACCCAACGAATTGCGCGCGCGGTTGCGAATGCTTAAGAAAACCATATGTTTTCAACGTGTGTATGACATGCTACCAAACAGGCTTCGCACGCGCATGTCGAAATCGCTCGAACGCCGTTGCGCGCGTGCTGCTTTGGCAAAGCCCGTGTCAAACAATACCATACGGGCCACTTTCGGGCGTGTGCAGCGCGTGCATGTCGAACTCTTTCCACCACCTTCATCACCGACGCAAAGACGCCGTCATCGTCGCCGGCGTGATCCACATCGGCGCCGTCACTGGCTGCCCCGTTGTCGCTGTCAGCATCGTCGCCAGCAGCGCTACTATCATCATCGTGTCTACCGTTGTCGACGTTGCCATGACACCGCGCCCGCCCAGGTCGCTGACCCGCGTTGAGGTGCCCGCTGGGATGTGCCGAGCGGTCAGCGCCACCGCGTTCGCGTCGGACGCGCCACACTAGCTGGCCGCTGCGCGCGCGAGCATGCGCGGGTTAGCGCGGCCGCAGAGATGCGCCAGCCAACCTCAAGCACTCATCGCAATCGCTTCCGCATGGGGTTTGAATCCAAATTTCGGGTGGGTGGGTGGGGTGATTGCGGGAACCGTGGAGTTGACAACTTCAAGTTCGACAAGTGAATTGCACAACACAGGTTACACCACATAAATTGTTCCGCACGATTGCATTGCATCGGTGAACCCCGTGGCTTGCACCACGGAGGTTGCACGATTTAGATTGCACTGCGTAAGCTGCGTTACATAAGTTGCACCGCGTAGATTGCACAATGTAGCGTGCATTGCGCAGATTGCACCGCGTACGTTTCATTACTTAGGTTGCGTAAACTGCACCGCGTAGATTGCACAACGTAGATTGCAGTGCATCGGTTCTCCTATGGTTCTACCGCCCTCCCCCCTTGGGCTTAGCGCCTCCCTGGGGACCCATGCAAATACATGGTTCTGACCCGATGCCCATCCTACGTGTGAGCTTATACTATCCCAGCCAGGCCGGTATCGCCCCCGCCATCCTTCGGCTCCCGTGCAAACTATACTATACGGTGGCATCTTTTGGCTCCAACATAATCACATAATAGTTGTTCGCGAATCGTTCGTAATAAATACCATGCGGGGCACACGCGCGCTGTCGCTGCGCGCGCATGTCGAAACCCTTCCAAACACAGCGTGTTTTCCACGATTCCGATATCCCGTTTGAAGAATACCACTGAAAACAGGCGTTTTTGCCACCCAGAAATTCTGAAACATTTGCTCCCGCGCTCTCGCCGAATCCTTCAACAACCAATGGTTGTTCAACATTGTCATGTCTTGCTGACAGGCGGGCTTTGAGCGCGCGCGTGTCGAAATCGTTCGAACGCCGTTGCGCGCGTGCTGCTTTGGCAAAACCCGTGTCAAACAATACCATACGGGCCACTTTCGGGCGTGTGCAGCGCGCGCATCTCGAATTCTTCCCAAAACCTTCATCACCGACGCGAAGACGCCATCATCGTCGTCGGCGTGACCAAAACCATTCCACACACATTCTGTGTTTTCAACAATTTCAGCGTCCCGCTTCAAGAACACCTATGAAAGCATACGGCTTGCTCACCAATAAATTCTGAGACATCTGCCCGCTCGGTTTTGTCGAATCCTAAAAAAAAACAATGGTTTGTCAACCTGTCCATAACATGCTACCAAACGGGCTCCGCGCGCGCATGTCGACATCGCCTGAACGCCGTTGCGCGCGTGCTAGGTTGGCACGACCCGTGTCAAGTAATACCATGCGTGCCACCCTCGCGCGTCTGCCGCGCGCGCATTTCGAATTCCGTCCAAAACCTTCATCACCGACGCGAAGACGCCGTCATCGTCATCGGCGTGATCAGCATCGGCGCCGTCACTGGTTACCCCGTCGTCGCTGTCAGAATCGTCGCCAACACCGCTATTACCAGCATCGCGCCTACTGTTGTCGACGTTGCCATGCTACCACACCCGCCCAAGTCGCCGACTCGCACGGAAATTCCCGTTGGGATGTGCCGAGCGGTCAGCGCCACCGCGTTCGCGTCGGTCGCGTCAAACTAGCTGGCCGCTGCGCGCGAACATGCGCGGGCTAGCGCGGCCGCAGGGATGCACCAACCAACACCAAGCACTCATCACAATCGCTTCCGCACTGGGTTTGAAAACCAAGTTTCGGGTGGGTGGGTGGGATGTTTGTGCGAGCAGTGGGGTGGACAAACTCAAGCTGAGCATTGATGAGTTGCACCGCGTAGATTGTACCACGTATATTATTATACACATAGAATGCACCGCATATTTTGCATTACGTAGATTGCACCGCGTAGGTCGCACCACCTAGATTCTCCTTTCTAAAAGACTAATAGATTCTACCCCCCCCCCCGACTTACCGGTTACCCCGCGCGTGCTGTAAATTACATACGATTTTGACCACATGTCCATCCCAAATATGAAGTCATATCATCCCAGCCAAGCCGGGTTCCCCCCCCTGCGGTTCCCTTGTAAAAAACACTATGCGGTGACATGTTTTGTTCTAACATATCACTTTTTTCACGAATCCCTTGCAAAAAGTGAGACGAAGTGCACACGCGCGCGTCGTGGCGCGCGCATGCCGAAATCCTTTAAAAACCTTCGGTTCCGGAGAGATTTCAAAATTGAATTTCCCAAAAAACTTATAAAAACACATGGTTTCGCAACACTGATTCAAAACCAAAAAAAAACTTACGCGCGAGCTCTTGCGAAACCTTAAGAAAACCATAGGTTTTCAAAGATTTTCACAAAATGCTACCAAACGGGCTTCGCGCACGCGCATGTCGAAATCTGTCGAACGCTCTTGCGCGTGTGCCGTCGCGAGAATCCTCTGCAAAAAAAGGGACGAAGTGCAGACGCGCGCGTCGTCGCGGGCGTATGCCGAAATCCTTCAAAAACCTTCGGTTTCGGAAGAATCTCGAAATCGTGCGTCCAAAAAACCTGCAAAAACACAAGGTTTCGCAACACGGGTTTTCAACAAAATTGTGAGCGCGCGCTCTTGCGTCGTCGTCGTCGTCGTCGTCGTCCTCCCTCCTCCCTCGTCGTCGTCGTCGTCGCCGTCGCCGTCGTCGTCTTCTGTCTTTCCTCGTCGTCTTTGGCGTCGTCGTCGTTTCCGTCGTCGTTGTCGCCGTGGTCGTCCTTCCTCCCTCGTTGTCTTCGTCGGCGTCTCGTCGTTGTCCCTCCTATTTCGTCGCCGTCGTCGTCGTCGTCGTCGTCGTCGTGGTCTTCACTCCTCCCTCGTCGTTATCCTCCTCCCTCGTCGTCGTCGTCCGTCGTCGGCGTCTCGTCGTCGTCCCTCCTATTTCGTCGCCGTCGTCGTCGTCTTCGTCGTCGTTGTCATCGTCGTCGTCTTCCCTCCTCCCTCGTCGTTGTCGTCGTCGGCGTCGCCGTCCTTCCTCCTTCTTCGTCGTTGGCGTCGTCGCCGTCTTCCCTCCTCCATCGTCGTTGTCGTCGTTGTCGCCGTCGTCGTTTTTTCTCCTCCCTCGTCGTCGTCTCCGTTGGCGACGTCGTCGTCGTCTTCGTCGTCGTCGTCGGCGTCGTTGTCGTCGTCGTCGGTGTCGTCGTCGTCGTTGTCGTCGTCGAAAACATTGGAGACGTCGTCGGTGTCGTCGCAGTCGCTGTCGGCGGCGCCGTCGTCGTCGATGTCGCTGTCGTCGTCGGCATCGGTGTCGTGGCCAAGTGCCACGCAGTACCTACCGTCACGGTCTTGTCTGAAGATGTCTTGCGACCAAGTTGCGGGTGGGAGGGTGGGATGTTTGCACGAGCAGTGGAGAGGACAGCTTCAAGACAGTCGAAGTGGATTGCACCGCGTAGGTTGCACCGCACATATTGCATTACGTATTTTGCATCGCATACACTGCGCCACATCGATTACGCCACATAGGCTGCAACAACCGACTGCTTGGGGCCCACGTTGGCGAACAATCTATACAAATGTTTGCATATACGAATTCCCCAAATGGTGTTCCCAGTTGTGGGTTCCAATTTTTTGTCTACGGAACTGGGCCTGGCTGTTGATCCAGCGGCTGTGTCGTCGCCGTCGCCGCCCCGTCGCCGCTTCGTCGCCGCCCATCGTCTGGGCCTGGCGGTTGGTCCAGCGGTTATTCAGTCGCTGTCGCCGCCCCGTCGCCTCCTCATCGCCGCCCGTCGTCTGGGCCTGTTTGGCGATCTGGTGGCTATGTCGTCGCCGTCGCCGCCCCGTCGCCATCTCGTCGCCACACGTCGTCTGGGCTCCAGTGCAAGGTTTGTTGCATTGTTGTCGCCGTCGTCGCCCCAAAAACCCTGCATGACATAGTTCGCACCAGATCTATTTCACCACATAGATTGCACTACATCACTTGCATCACGTAGCTCTCACCACATAGATTGCACCACATAGTTTGCCCCACATCGGTTACACCGCATAGGTTGCACCGCATAGTTTGCACCTCATAGCTTGCACGACATAGGATGCACTATTGCACCACCTAGCTTGCACCACGTGGATTGAACCATCTAGTTTGTAACTCAAGGGTATGCTAGAGCCCACTGCGTTGTGGCCCACGATGACTATTTTGCACACCGCTCATATACTGGAAACCCGCCCCCTTGGGGGCTCGGGGCCAAAGACCACCAGGGACACCCAGGGTACGCTAAGTGCCCCCTCCCCTTTCCCTCCCAGAGCCTCCACGGGGCGTCCCCAGAGCTTCCCCGGAGCCTTGCCGAAGCCCGGGGACACACGGTAGAAGTCTTGTTGGACGTCCAGATGGTTTCCAGACTGTTCCAGGATGGTCCAAGATGGCCTCAAGACAGCCCAACACGCTCCCAAGGCGCCCCAAGACGGCTCCAAGAGACCCCCCTCCAGGGCCCCCCCGAGCTACAAAAAACGATTCATTCCCCTTCGGACAAGGTGCATATTTAGCGTATCTTTGTTGTTGTCCCACCGGTGTGCCAGGCGGTTCCAAGAGGCTTCCAAGAGCGCCCCAAGGCCGCCGAAGATGGCTCCAAGCCCAAGAGGCGCCCAAGCCGGCCCAACAGCGCCTCGAGAGGGCCCCAAGAAGGCCCATACGAGGCCCCCCGAGCGCCCCCCGAGCGGCCGTCCGGTCACCTTTCCGCTGCTGTTTCTCCCCCTCCCCCCGGAGATTTTCGGGGCCCTTGAATATGCTTCAGGAGGTATCCTTCCCCTCCCCCATCCTCCGCCCCTCCCCCATCCCTCCTCCCTCCTTCCCTCTCTCCACCTCTTCGTCTTTTGGTGCTTCCCCCCCTCATTCCTCCCCCTCTCTCCTCCCTCGCCCTCGTCGTCGCCCAGAACATGGACAGAGGACGGAAGCCCCACAAAGGCTACACAAAAGGAAAGGGCCAAACCAATTCAGAAAAGTCGATAATCGAACTCCACAGAGGGAGCAACAACGAGGGATGGCCAGATTTCAGATTGTGTGGTCCGTTCGATACGCACAGGCTCCAGAACTTGCAGCTCCATCCCTGGACCAGGCTTTCGTCCAAGATCTTTGTGTTGGGATGCCCCCAGAGCGTGGCAATGGCATCCCCGGGATGCCGACCATGGCGAAATGTGGCAGCCGTCTTGCTTTTCTCAAGATGTTGGAGGTGTAGACCCCCCCCTGGGGGATCGCACTGACCAGGATTCCGAGACGGACTCAGCAGTGGCTCGGCGAGAGGTCTCCTTTCAGGCTCTGGAAGGCGAACAACTTCCGAAAAACGACGAGCACGACGACGACGACGACCCCCTCCGAACAGGCGTCTCCTCCTCCTCTTCCTCGACCTTGTCTCTCTCTCTCTCTCTTCCCCTTCAGTCAGACAGAGCAACGACGAGGAAACCGACGACGGCGGCGACGACGACGACGGCGGCGACGGCGGCGGCGGTGGCGGCGGCGGCGGCAGGGCGGCGGCGGCGGTGGCTCCGCCAGGCGGCAGTGGCGGTTGCCGTGTCCGGAGGCGACGGCGGCGACAGCAGCGGCGACGACCGACGGCGCCCCCCCACCCCCGCGGAGAGGAGCACCCGCGGCGGCCGGTGCGGGCGCCCGGCCGCCAGTTCGAGGCTCGCCCTCGCCCTCTCGGGTCGCGTGGCCGTTGGGCCACCGCCAGCGGCGGCGGAGGCGACTGCGACGGTGACGAGGGCGGCGGCGGCGAGGGCAGCGGCGGCGGCGGGAGGGGGGGGAGGGAGGAGGGCGGCGGGAGGAGGGAGGAGGGAGGGCGGGGGGAAGGGAGGGGAGGAGGGGGAGGAGGGAGAGGGGAGCCTGTGAGAGGGAGGAGGAAGAGGAGGAGGGAGAGAAGAGCCTCAGAGAGAGTGCGCGCGTGGCACAGACCGCGGCGGCGCTGGAGGAGAGGGATGAGGCGGAAGAGGAGGAAGAGGAGGAGGAGCAGGAGGAGTAGCAGGAGGAGGAGCAGCAGGAGAAGGAGAATGAGCGGCGGGGGGGAAGGAGAATGATAATGGATGGGGAGGAGGAGCACCTTCGGCAGAAGAGCTGGAGGAGGAATGAGAAACATTATAGAGGAGGAGGAGGAGGAGGAGGAGGAGGAGGAGGAGGAAAATCAGAAGGAAGGAGGAAAGAGGATGATGGGAAGGAGCCGGTCGTTTAGCAGAGCGGAGGGTGGCGGCGGACCAGCTATCGTCATTGATTGACTTGTCCGGCCACGTCTTTCCGCGCGGCTACGATGTCGACGGCACCGCCGCTTTACGCATTGGTCGCTCTGTGACAATCGTTCGGGAATTGTCACGCACTCTGCCGTGGAATCTCTCCGATTATCACCAGTTGGTTGTATTCCCCTGCGGAGCTGTCTTGCTCTGGTGCCGACGCGTTGAGTTTGAACGCGGTAAGCGAATTTTTTGTTGACGCGTCGCGTGTCCCTGCCAGTCGGCCCAGAAGTGAGTCTATGTTATCTGATCCCAGGACGGGAATGGTAGTGGGCTAATGGGTGGGTGAGACTTGCAAGGAGGCGAGCTGAAAAGACATCAATGAAATGTTAGGAAACGTCAGGCCAAATGGGCCCCGCAACCTTTCAATTTGCTTGAAACCAACTCCAGGGGTTCTGACGAGCAGCAGATTTTGTGTAGAGTACACGCTCCCCCGGGGGCGACAACGTGCCACTCACCGGCCGTGCACGCTATACGCTTCTCTCTCTCTCCCGACTTTCATTCTGCACGCCGAAAATCGGACGCGCACGCTATCTTGTAAGCGGACGTGCACGCTAGACGTTCTTTTTTACGTTGACGACAATTGCATCTTGCCATGTTGATATGAATGTGTATAGCGCTATCGTCGGGGTGTTCTCGATACGCTTCCTCCGAAGGGCATGCGCGCATAGCGCCTCGTTGAGGCGCACGATACGCTTCCTGCTCCTGCGACTCACCATACCACTCCGTCTTCTCCCCCTGCTTCTCCGAGCGACATGCGTGGCGCCCCTGTGTGGGTGCACTCTATACGCGTCCTCCTGCTCGCCATTGCACTCCGTCCCCTCCTCCCCCCTCGTCCGAGTGACATGCGTGTATGCCGCCCCGTTGAGGGTGCACTCCATACGCAGCCTCTTCCTCCTACTCGCCATGCCACTCCTTTCCAGCCTCCCCCCACGCCCGAGGGGCATGCGCGCATAGCGCCTTGTTGCCGTGCATTATATGCGCTCCCTTCTCCTCCTCCTCACGGGCGCTTTCGGGGCCGTCTTAGAAGCATCATGTTTTTTTTCTCGAGGCTCTGCTGGGTGATCTTGGGACTCTTTCCTCCCCTCCCGTCTTCTCTTTCCCTCCTGCTGGCAAGCACGCAGGGCAGGGCCACCGTGGCCGATAGGCCGAGTTGCCGTGGGGCCTGATGAGCCAGACTAACAACAGCGAAACAGCTTAAACGTTGTTGCTCCGAGAAGTTGGCAGTGCAGGCTAAATAGTTTCTTCTCTAAAGAGCAGCCCAAAAACCAGGCTAATATAGAGTACACCTCGCCCCGACGAGCATTCCATGCGCCTCCAATCTCCCGAAGTGCACCATGCAGCAGTGTCTGCTAGTGGAGGCCACTTTTCGTAGCCTCTGTGACCCTTTGCACGCAACTCTGGAGGAGCAGGAGCAGGGACGACCGTGCGTAGAGCTGGTAACATGACACATGCGGTGTCCCTCCGTGCAGCTTCCAAATTTCTGCAAGATGGGTGATCCTCAATGCAGTATCAGAGACGCAGGTCTGCAGTCGACGGTGGGTTATGTCATTATGCAGTCGGGCTTGTGTGTGTGAACATATACCAATAAATCAGTTTTAGTTCGTTGCCGCGCGTTTCAAGACACATGGGAGTCCCACCATGCAAGTCCATGGGGCCCTCACCTGTCCAGGGTGCGCAGGTCGTGGGAACAACACCCGGCACGTACATGTTCACCACCTTGAACGTGTAGAGACTCGGGGAGCGCTTCATTGCATCGGGCGAGCGCCCTTGTACTTAAACCTGGTACGTGTCTACCCACCTGTTTGTTTTTATCATTGTTTTGTTTCTTGTTCTCTCTCTATATATATAGATATAACAAAATCCGCTCTTCCCTCTCGTCGTCTTCCTGGAGATCCCTGGCCGCTCTCCCCGACACGGGCTCCTTGGGGGATGATCACGCCTGCTGCCAGGCGGCGGCGCCGCCGCCCGCAGCGGAATTGGAGCAGTCGGAGAAGGAGCCGCCACAGCAAGAGAGGAGGGAGGACGCCAGATTTCTGACTGCAGGGCCCTCCAGAGGCTTGGGGGCCTCTCAAGGCCTTCAGAGGAGGAGGATGTTACCAAGGAGGAGCACGGCTGGCGGCAAGCGGCAAGACAACGAAATTCAACATCCCAGCGGCAAGCGTTGAGCGGTACGCGGTTCGAGGCCGCCCAGCGCATGTAGGCTGCAAGCAGTACGTTGCAAGCGCTGAAGACAAGCCATCGGCCGTTGTGGGTCTAGTCGGATGCGGAACGTCTGCCTTTTCGGCCATCGGGCTCCCTCGTGCTTCCCCCGCTCCCGCCCCCCCACGGGGGGCCCGTACGTTCATGGAGGAGCCATACCGCTAGCAGTTCTGGCACTTCCATCCCAGGGCTCGCAAAAACCTACGGGGCACCCCAACATCAGCTGCTTTGGGCGGAGTCGGAGTCTCCTTTGGGGGAGGGGCCTTTCATTACTCCAAAACTGGACGGTGTTGCAGCGCCGACCCCCCCCCTCCCCCCCTCCCTCTCTTCCCAGGAGCCTGCAAAAAGCCCAGGGGGGGGGGCATAACGCCGGCCGCTCTGTGCAGAACTGGAGCCGCCGTCGTCCAGCTCCGAGCGGCGTGTTTGTGCGCCGGCCTCGCCCCCCCCCCCCCTCTAGCCGCGCGCGGGGGCCCCTCGTCCTGGGCCCTGCTGCCGCGAGGCCTCGCGCGCAAGGGCCCGTGGGCCCTTGCGGCGCCCGCGGAAGGCCGCGCGCGAGGTCCCGAGGCGGAGAGGGGCCCCAGGAGCTGAAAGAGAGGGGGGGGGCGCGCGTGCGGCCAGAGGGGGCCGCAGCTGGACGGAGCGCAGTCGGGGGGGGTGCAGCGGATCTGCAGAAGGAGGGCCCGCAAGATACGGCAGGTTCGCGACGTGTCGACCGGCGGCGACCCCAGCGCGGGCGTGCAAGGTTGAACGCAGCCCGTGGCCCAGAATCGGCCATCGTTGAACGATCTGGCGCTTCCGAAACAGCCGATCGTTCAAGGTTGAACGATCTCCGCGTTGTAATGAGACAGCGCCGGGGTCGACACGACACCTTTGGGCCCCGAACAGGGCGGCCGAGGGCCCGCGACAGGATGTCGGGGAATTCAGAGCCCCGAATCATCAGGGGTAACTCGGGTCGGGGCTAACTCGGGTTCGCTTTTCGGGATTCCGAACCCGACTTACCCCGGGCCCGAGTTACCCCGGATAATTCGGGCGTCCAGAGCCCCAAATCACCAGGGGTAACTCGGGTCAGGGCTAACTCGGGTTCGTTTTCCGGGAATCCAAACCCGAGTTACCCCGGACCCGAGTTACCCCGGATAACTCGGGCGCCCAACACAAAGGTGAGGTCTTTCCAATTCAGGGAACGAGCAATGACATAAATATAAAAACTTAGAGGTCCGCCCGGATTTCTCGGATCCGCGATGGACCACCCTGGCAGTGCCTCCGGCGCCGCCCTTGGCGCGCTCCGTGCGCCAGGGAGGGGGGTCCAGCGCCGATCCGAGGAATCTGCGGGGACCTCCGAGTTTGATGTTTATGTCATTGTTCGTTTCCCTACCAGATTTGCCTTGGCCCCACCTGACGTCAAGACGCTGAAATGAAGAGCGGTTTGGGTTCGGAAGGGGCCCAGTGTTCTCCAGGTCTTTCCATGGCTGCTCCTCTAGCCTCCTCGTGCACGCAGGCACACATGGGGCCAACAGGGGGCTCCGTTCCTCATCGATCGTTCCGTACTTCAGCAGCCCGACTCTATCCCCCCCCCCTCCTCTCTCCGCCTGCGCGCGGGGGCCGTCAGAGCGCCACGTTGTTGCTTCGCGCGATCTCTTGGAGCAGACGAGCGGCGTGCCCGCGAAGCGCTGCGACCCGGCGCTGCGGCCGCGGGAACACACGGGGGCCCCTGGCCGCTCGACCGCCTTGGGCGACCGCCTGGAGGATGGCACGGCCTCGGGAGGCAGTCGAAGTGGGCCCCCGGGCGCCCCAAGAGCGCCCCGAAACTGGGGGAGCAACAAGTGGCATAAACATAAAATCTCTGAGGTCCGCGCGGATTTCTCGGATCGGCGCTGGACCCCCCTCCCTGGCGCGCGGAGCGCGCCAGGGGCGGCGCCGGAGGCGCCGCCGGGGGGCTCCAGCGCCGATCCGAGAAATCCGCGTGGACCTCAGAGTTGTTATGTTTATGCCACTTGTTGCTCCCCTAGAAGCGGCCCAATATGGCCTCGCGGCTGCCCAAGCTGACCCCCAGGTGCGGGGGGGGAGGAGGGTCGGCAGGACCGATATGGGAACGGGAAGACCTGGCACGAAGACCAGCAGCGTCTCCGCTAGATGTTGAACAGGACTGTCGCTGTCGGCGTCGCCGCGGACGTTGTCCGTGCGAGAGAGAAGGCCGCCTGCCAAACAGCGGCCGCTGTCAGTTTGGGACAACGTGTGTTGTTGGGCATCGTACCCAATTACCTAACAGCTTGTTCTGATAGGTTTCTAGTAGGGTCAAAAGAGAGCAGCAGATGACTCCACAGGGGGGTCTGGGCGGGTGCCGGACAGGGTGCCGCAGAAGTCGTTTTAAGCCAACAGTCACACACTTCGTGCTCTTCGACCTCCCAGAACTCCATTCCCGGGCCACATTCTGAATGCCCGGAGCCAACTGTAGGCCACTTCGTGCTCTTCGACTTCCCAGAACTCCATTCCCGGGCCACATTTTGAATGCCCGGAGCCAACTGTAGGCCACTTCGTGGTCTTCGAGTTCCCAGAACTCCATTCCCGGGCCACATTTTGAATGCCCGGAGCCAACTGTAGGCCACTTCGTGCTCTTCGAGTTCCCAGAACTCCATTCCCGGGCCACATTTTGAATGCCCGGAGCCAACTGTAGGCCACTTCGTGCTCTTCGAGTTCCCAGAACTCCATTCCCGGGCCACATTTTGAATGCCCGGAGCCAACTGTAGGCCACTTCGTGGTCTTCGAGTTCCCAGAACTCCATTCCTGGGCATGATTTTGAATGCCCGGAGCCAACTGTAGGCCACTTCGTGTTCTTCGAGTTCCCAGAACTCCATTCCCGGGCCACATTTTGAATGCTGAGGCAGGCTGAGGCTGAGGCTGAGGCAGGCTGATGCTGAGGCAGGCTGAGGCTGAGGCTGAGGCTGATGCAGGCTGAGGCTGAGGCTGAGGCCGAGGCTGAAGGCAGACTGAGGCTGAGGCTGAAGCAGGCTGAGGCTGAGGCTGAGGCAGGCTGAGGCTGAGGCAGGCTGAGGCTGAGGCTGAGGCAGGCTGAGGCTGAGGCTGTGTCTGTGACTGCCGTTGCCACTGCGACTGTCATCGCGAATGCGACTACGACTGCGAGAACAGCACAATTCTACAACTGGATTATCATCTGAATCTTAAGGGGAATGCTTCCAGATATGCTCCTACACATAGCTGTTAGGTTGCTTTGCCGGGATAATTTTTCCGTACACAATTCGGGCGTCCGCAACAAAAATGAGATCGAGCGGGGTGAGGACAAGGAAGAATCGCTCCAGGAGCCTTTCTGGAACGCGCTGAGAAGGCTGCGGCGCCCGATACATCCTCCAGAACCGTCGGATCTGCGAGATTCCCGGTTTATGCCTGTCCGATTTTGTCCCTGTATTGGCTTCGTCTGAAGAGATGGGGAGGGAGGCGACGCGGCGACGCAGGCATCGAAACCACGATACCAGCCCTCGCCCGCACCTGACCCAAAGCACCCAACACCACATCGAATCCACGAGGCGGACCATGGGAGTGGCAGAGGAGGCGGTGGGGGCGCTCGTGGGGACGCGACCCCGCGGATGCGGGGCGTTGTTCGCGGAGGCCCCCGCGCGGAGCCTGCCCGCGTGACCGCGCGTCCGCGGCATCGCGCCCCGGAGCCCAGACCGCAAGGGCGCGGATACGGATGTACTGGAAGCCCATGCCAAGAAGCGCCCTGCTTGTCTCCAGAGTGCTCTGGGTTTCCTGGATTTCGATGGTCATGCTGCGGAAAAAGCGCGACGTTCCCGCACCAGAGATCCATGGACGTCCCCGGGTCTCAGGGCCGGGCTTCCTGTGGAAGATCTCTGGTGGACTGGCCTCCACCGTATCAGAAGGCCCCCTCCGCCTGCCCGAAGGAGAACGGGTCGCTGCGCGGGACGGGGTCGGGTGGTCGGCTCGCGCGGCACACGGCGCACCTCTCGAGTAGAGGATCGACTACAGAATTGATTTACCCCAGAATTGGCTTTCTCGTCGAATCTATGGACAAATACTTGGAGTTCCCAGTAGATCTGCGAAAACTTCGCGCATTCGTCGCAGATTCGATGGGATATCAATTTCGGGGTAAATCAATTCTGTGGCCGATCCCCAACTCGGACCTCCGCACCTCAGCGCGCTCTCTCGGCTCGGGCGCACCCGGAGCCGAACTGTGCTCCGCAGGCCACGAGGGCGGGCGAGGGCCCGCCGCCCGAGGATTCGCGCCTCGTGGAGCTCATGGCGCTGGCCTCCGCGCACCGGGGCCTGGAGCTCGAGGCCGAGGCCGCGGCCGGCCTGCTCGAGGCCGCGGCCCTCCCGCCGCCGCCCCGCCGTCGCTGCCGCCGCCGCCGGCCATCGCGTCGCAGCCGCCGTCGCCGTCGTCGTCGTCGCCGCCGTCGCCGCCGCCGCCTCGTCTCCGCTGCCGCCGCGGCAGGTCGAGGCGCGCCTGCTGGCGCCGACGCCGTCGTGGCCGCCGCCGCCGTCGCCGCCGACGCGGCCGCTCGAGTCGAGGCGCGCCCTGCCGGCGCCGAAGCCGTCGCGGCCGTCGGTGAAGTCTTCATTTCTGAAGACTGGTGATTGTTGCTGCCCCCCCTCCGGTGACGTGCCCTTCCCGGGGCACGCGCCTTTCTTTCCATGAGGGAAAATATCTGGTATCACCAAACTGGCCAACTGGCCCCCTGCCCCCGACTCACAACAACACCAACAACAGCAACAGCAACAACAACAGCAGCAGCAACAACAGCAGCAGCAAACAACAACAACGGCAACAACGGCTCCCCCCTGATATATCCCCACAGTGCATTTCAGATTCGCGATCTCGCGCGATAGTTCCCCACAAAGTATGAAGGATTCGTGATCTTGCGTGGGACTTCCTCGCAATTTATTCCAACGCCGCGCCCTCGGCACTCAGGAATCAGGCTCACGATTTAATTAGAAATCGCGCAATCGCTCGAGGCTTCCTCGCGATTCATGCAGGCTGCACGCTTCAGCAACCCGCCTGCTCGACCTGGCCGCTTGGGTCCTCCTTCCCGAACCACCCGTTAGGGTCTACCCGCCCGATCTGCCCGTTTTGTTCTGCCACGTGGGTTATGTTCCTAGCCCCCTCCTGCTAATCACCCTCTCTCGTGCTCCATTTTCCTCCCTCCCCCTTGTTCTTTCCTTCCATCCTTTCTTCCCCTGCCTTAGGGGCTGCACGAGACACACGTTGCAGGTATGGAAGATCTACCCGCAAAGGGGTACGATCGAAGACGAAGCGAGCGGGTATCGAGGGCTGGGGATGGACATGTTGAGTGGCACGCGATCAGATCAGAGCGAACAACTCGAAACCGATTGTTGTTGTTGTTGTTGATGTTGTTGTTGTTGTTGTTGTTGTTGTTGTTGTTGTTGTTGATGTTGATGTTGATGTTGATGTTGTTGTTGTTGTTGTTGTTGTTGTTGTTGTTGTTGTTGTTGTTGTTGTTGTTGTTGTTGTTGTTGTTGTTGTTGTTCCCCATATCCTAAGGATTGGGGTTCTGGTTATTACTCTGACGCCTCCCACTCCTCCTCCTCCTCCTTCTTCCTTCCGCTCGCGCCTCCCTCCTCCCAATGATAATCACCAGATAAGACAAGACAAGATAAGATACTACAAGATAAGATAAGATAGCACAATATATGATAAGAAGAGATTTCAAGATAAGATAAGATAAGTTAAGCTCACACTCACACTCTCTCATGATCACAAAACGCTGCCAGGGGCATCATTTGGGAGCCCCAAGGGGGAGCCACCCTGGCTGATCTCACGAGCCCGTTCGCGCCGATTTTGGTGGGACGTCTCAGCTAGAATTGCCGTTTGGCGCCCCCAACATGTATCTCTTGAGAGCCTCATGGTCACAAAACGCTGCCAGGGGCATCATTTGGGAGCCCCAAGGGGGAGCCACCCTGGCTGATCTCACGAGCCCGTTCGCGCCGATTTTGGTGGGACGTCTCAGCTAGAATTGCCGTTTGGCGCCCCCAACATGTATCTCTTGAGAGCCTCATGGTCACAAAACGCTGCCAGGGGCATCATTTGGGAGCCCCAAGGGGGAGCCACCCTGGCTGATCTCACGAGCCCGTTCGCGCCGATTTTGGTGGGACGTCTCAGCTAGAATTGCCGTTTGGCGCCCCCAACATGTATCTCTTGAGAGCCTCATGGTCACAAAACGCTGCCAGGGGCATCATTTGGGAGCCCCAAGGGGGAGCCACCCTGGCTGATCTCACGAGCCCGTTCGCGCCGATTTTGGTGGGACGTCTCAGCTAGAATTGCCGTTTGGCGCCCCCAACATGTATCTCTTGAGAGCCTCATGGTCACAAAACGCTGCCAGGGGCATCATTTGGGAGCCCCAAGGGGGAGCCACCCTGGCTGATCTCACGAGCCCGTTCGCGCCGATTTTGGTGGGACGTCTCAGCTAGAATTGCCGTTTGGCGCCCCCAACATGTATCTCTTGAGAGCCTCATGGTCACAAAACGCTGCCAGGGGCATCATTTGGGAGCCCCAAGGGGGGGCCACCCTGGCTGATCTCACGAGCCCGTTCGCGCCGATTTTGGTGGGACGTCTCAGCTAGAATTGCCGTTTGGCCTCCCCAACATGTATCTCTTGAGAGCCTCATGGTCACAAAACGCTGCCAGGGGCATCATTTGGGAGCCCCAAGGGGGAGCCACCCTGGCTGATCTCACGAGCCCGTTCGCGCCGATTTTGGTGGGACGTCTCAGCTAGAATTGCCGTTTGGCGCCCCCAACATGTATCTCTTGAGAGCCTCATGGTCACAAAACGCTGCCAGGGGCATCATTTGGGAGCCCCAAGGGGGAGCCACCCTGGCTGATCTCACGAGCCCGTTCGCGCCGATTTTGGTGGGACGCCTCAGCTAGAATTGCCGTTTGGCCTCCCCAACATGTATCTCTTGAGAGCCTCGTGGTCACAAAACGCTGCCAGGGGCATCATTTGGGAGCCCCAAGGGGGAGCCACCCTGGCTGATCTCACGAGCCCGTGACGAGAGAGAGAGAGAGAGAGAGAGAGAGAGAGCAAGAGAGAGAGAGAGAGAGAGAGAGGAAGCGAGAGAGAGGGAGAGGAGAGAGAGAGAGAGAGAGCGGAGAAAGAGAGAGAGAGGGGGAGTTGAGAGAAGAGACAGGCGAGAGAAAGAGAGAAGAGAGAAGAGAGAGAGAGAGAAGAGAGAAGAGAGAAGAGAGAGAGAGAGATAGAGATAGAGATAGAAGAGAGAGAGAGGAAAGAGAGCGGAGAAGAGAGAGAAGTGAGAAAGAAGAAGAGAGAGAAGAGAGAGAGGGGAGTTGAAGAGGAGACAGGCGAGAGAAAGAGAAAGAGAGTAGAGGGAAGAAGAGAGAGAGAGAGAGAGAGAGAGGAGAGAGAGAGAGAGAGAGAGAGAGCGAAGAGAGAAGAGAGAAAGAGAGAAGAGAAGAGAGAGAGAGGAAGAGAGAGAGGATCGAAGATATAGAAAGACGAAAGAGAGAGAGGGAGAGAAGAGAGAGAGAGAGAGGATGAAGAGAGAGAGAGAGAGAGAGAGGAGAGAGAGAGAGAAAATGAGAAAGGTTGAGAGAGAGGGGGGGGGGGGGAGAGAGAGAGAAAGAAGGAGAGAGAGAAGAGAGAGAGAGAGAGAGAGAGAGAGAGAGAGAGAGAAGAGAAGAAGAGAGAGAAGAGAGAGGAAGAGAGAGAAGAGAGAGAGAGAGAGAGAGAGAGAGAGAGAGAGAGAGAGAGAGAGAGCGAGGGAAGCGAGAGAGAGAGAGAGAGAGAGAGAGTGAGAGAGAGAGAGAGAGAGAGAGAGAGAGAGAGAGAGAGAGAGAGAGAGATCGGACAAGTAGGCGGACCAGGGTCCGTCCGCGAGGCGCACTGCGGTGCGACAACTCGCCAAACACTATTTGCGGCGGTGCAGCCTTAAGATACGAGGGCGGGCAACAAACCCCCTCCCCCGGCGCAATGCGACAGCGACGCGCTACAGACGGCGGACAGACGGTGAAGATCTCACGTGTCAGACCGCGTGAAGAAGGAGGCCCCAACAAGGAAGGCGACGTGCTGACACGTGGCTAGGCGGCTTGGCAGACCGCCAGTTGGGCGCTTGGCCGCAAAGCGGCGCGCAGGGACGGGGCACCCCCCGCCCCCACGCCCTGACACCGTGGACGCGGAGCCACGCGTACACACGGGCAGGCAGAAAGGAGGAAATTAGCGCGGGGCACCAGGCGGAGCGCCGCGGAGCGATGACAGCATAGCTTGGATGGTGAGTGGCGGCGCAGCACCATCGGGCGAGGGCGCAAGCAGCTCGGCGAAGGCACGCCCGGCGCGGTGGAGGCGCTGGAGCAGAGGGCCTTGACGGGCTTGAGCAGCGGCAAGGTCGGCGGCGAGAGCAGCACACCTCTGCTGAAGAGCGGCCGTAGACTGGGACAGCTCAGTTTCGCGGTCGGTGAAGGGCGGCTGCTGAGTGCCTGCGGCCGCGGGCCTCGTGGCAGGGACGAGGTCATCGGTGCGCCTGGCCAGGTGGTGGACTAGCGCAGTACGGCGCTCCGTGTGCTGGCGGCCGTCACCCTTGAGAGGCGACTGGAGGGTAACACGCGGTCCCAGGGCTGGAGCCGCTAGGGCCACGCCCCGCGAGGTCGGAAGAGCCGCATCCTCGCGCCCAACAACAGTGAAAGCGTGGACGGGGTGCGACGGCCTGACTAGGAGGAGTCGGCTTGCAGGGGGGGCCGGGCGCGGGGGGGGCGCCAACGACCGCGCCGATTCCATCGCGGCCCGCTGCCCCTTCCCGGGACTCTCAGGAATCTTCCGGGCCCAGTCGGCCTCGCAGTCGGCGCCGGCGTCGCGTCGCCCGCGAGCGCCAGCTGGCGGGCGGGCCGACCTTGTTGCGCATGTTCGGCGCGAGAGACCCGCGCGGGCCTCGCGCTGTGCCCGCGCCCCAGGGCGGCGGCCCAGGCCCTTGTAGCCTCCCGCGCTGACGCGATGGCCTCGCGCGCGGCGCAGGAGCGGGCGCCGCCGACCGTTCGGTTCGGTTCCGCGCACTTCTCATATGCGACAACGCAAAGCCCCCCATGCTGCTCGCGCGCTTTGCGCGCTGAGTAGCATGGGGGGCGACGGCCGCGCGTTCAATGGGAAGCCGCAGACCAAGTTTCCATTCCCGCGCGCGAGGCGGGGCATGAACTTACAGATGCGCCGACGGTCGAGAACTCGCTCGCGCGCCCGCGCCTGCGATGTTGGGCGTGCGCACTGGGCCCGGAAATCTGCGGTTCGGCCGCCCATGCGCCCCAAAAATCGCCCCGCCCCCCCCCCGCCCCCCTCCCCTTCAAAA